CCGCCAGCCCCGGGCCGCCGGGGTTGCTATGCGTTGCCGCGAAACGCCTGTCAATAAAGCCTGTTTGGACAGCGCAGCGAGAGCGCAAGGGTTGTTTGCTTAGTGGTTAGAGGTTCAAAAGTCGGCATTGTCCCGCTGCAGCGATTACAAGCTCTGCCCCTTCCCGGGCCGGGCCTCGCGCGCGGATGGGGACGCGCAGGCAGGCGGGGGCGCCAGTGCCAGCCCGGGGTCGCAGCGCGAGGACAGGACGCTGAGAGCAGCCCTGCCCGGGGAGGCACGCCGTCACCCGCGGGGCTGCGAAGGAACACGCGACGCGGCGCGCTGTGCATCGCAGCCTCAGCCCAGTTCCGGAAGCTTGCGCTGGGCACCTGGGGTTGAGACCAGAAGATGTAGCGGCGCCGACAGCCTCCAGCCCCTGGCAGGGCAGGGGTGGGGGCCCCGGAACCCCACGGCCTTGGGGGCGCGCTGTGCTGAGTTCAGGCCGCCAGGGGGCGCGCGCGCTCTGGGAGCTGGCGCTGGCCTGGACAGGGGCCCAAGTCCTGCTCAACCTGGACACAGGGCTGGGGTATGTATAGCTCAGCGGTACAAGCGCCTACCTGGCAAGTGCGAGGTCCTGAGTTCAATTCCCGCACCAAGAAAAAAAAAAAAGAATGCAACCTGGACACCTCTCCGTACCCTGCTGTTCCCCTACTGGGCCACTGGAGATGTCCCCTCGTGGGCCAGTGAAATTGGGGGGCTGAGGCTGTGGCTCACGGAGAGAGTGTGCGCTTAGCCTGCATGGCGGGGCAGGCTTTGGGCCACTGAACTACAAAACAAAACACACCCCAACACTAAATTCCAACCAAGGCAGGCCTGGGAGAGTCTGTTGGCTGTTTAAGAAAAATAAGTTTTGCCGGGGATATAGCTCAGCGGCATAAACGCTTGCCTGGCAAGCTTGAGGTCATGAGTTCGATTCCTGGTACCAAAAAAAAAAAATAAGTTTTGAGGAGGAGACTCCCCACCATTCTAAAAGGATAGGTTTGCCCAGTGTGCTTCTTTTGTGAAAATGTACCGTGATATGGCCACGGTATTCATGTATGGTAAAGTTGGGGTTTTAAGGTAAACATGGAAATAAAATGTACGAGTGTTAGCTGGCTGCCTTGGCCAAGGTCTGTCATCCCAGCATTTTGGGAGGCGGAGGAAGGAGGACTGCGAGTTCAGGTTCAGTTTGGGCAGTTTAGTGAGACACTATCTCAACATAGAAAAAAAAATTAATAATAGAAAAGAAAGAACAGGGCTGGGGATTTAGCTCAGCGGCACAGCGCCTGCCTGGCAAGTGCAAGGTCGTGAGTTCGATTCCCAATCCCGGAAAAACAACAATTTAAAAAAAAACAAAACAAGAAAAGAAAGAACAAATTAAAAAGGGTTCGAGATGTAGCTCAACGCAGAGGCTGTGGGTTCAATCTCCAGCACTCACACACGCAGACACAAACACCACGGACCGGTGACACTTGCTCCAAAAAGGAAGATATGGAGAAAACCCAGCTCAACTTTTTCCCTGTGACCAATTCAAGGCTTTTCCGTATTCATTCAGCGAACAAAATGAAACCCATGGAAGTTTCATTCTTTCCAATCTAGCAAGATGCCTACATTAGGTTAAAAAAAAAAAAAGAAATCCTAAATAGCAATTAAAACATATGAACAGCAGTGCTCTTGTTCAGGAAAAAAATAAGAGACGGCAACAAGCAGAAATGAAAGAAATCTCAGCTACACAATGGCAAGAAAAGGATATGCGTCTGTAAGGCCAGTGTTGGAGCCTTGTTTTAGAAACAGGCTGTTCCAGCCCGGTGACCTTGGGGCGCTAACCTCTGAGCCGGCTCTTCATCTGAGGCAATGTAAGTGGTCGGTGGAGCACACACCTAGGATCAGACCCTAGTGATGCTGGGAAGTGCTGCTTTTTATCGTGAGCCATCTTCTACAAAGTGCTCCGGATTCCTTACAAAAAGTCTTTGGACAGGATAGTTTCTCAAATCTTGATAGAAGAACTCTTTCTCAGAATTTTTTCCAGTGCAGTTGGCTTTGCTTACATTCTCGAAACAGCCTCAAGCCTGTGGTCTGCTGATTTCCACCGTCTAGGTGCCGGCCTGCGGTCTAGAGGGGCAAAGCCTGACATTCCAGATGTGAAGACAAGGCAGTGATCTGCATAGTTTCCTTGTCTTTTCATCTACCAGAAGAAATGTCCCCTAACACATCTGCTTTCCAGGAGACCCAAGATTAGTTGAGAGTGTTGTTGGGAATTTCAGGACAATGGATGGGTACATTTCTTGTAGTTCCCAGAAGGCAGAGAGACAGATATTCTAACTAGACAGCATTTAAAATTTCTTTATGTTGAAACGATTTGCATCTCAACATTAACTCTGTGCTCTTCTGGGAGCTATCCGAAGGGCCCACTGTAGTCCTACCTCTGTAAGTCTGATTTATCCCCTGAAGTCATTTTGAGGCAGGTATTTTACTCTACAATTTCCCCTTCATAGAAACTACAGCAGCAGTTCTTGTGTTAAATTACTGTTGCTAGGGGCTGGGGATTCAGCTCAGTGGCACAGCGCCTGCCTGGCAAGCTCAAGATCATGAGTTCGATTCTGGAAAATAATAAATAAATAAATAAATAAATAAATAAATAAATAAATAAATTACTGTTGCTTTGGAAGGTATGAAAAGCAAATCCATATCAGAAGTATCAATATGTAAAACATTTAATTGTCTTATATCACAGACCATATTGACTTCCTACCCTATGTAATTCTTTTTTTTGGGGGGGGGGCTTTTTTCCGGTACCAGGAATCGAACTCAGGACCTTGTGCTTGCCAGGCAGGCACTGCGCTGCTGAGCTAAATCCCCAGCCCCCCTATGTAATTCTTATATTCATTTTTTCTTTTTTTTTCCTGCCCCTTTTCAGATGTGTACACTATGATTTTAGGAAACCAAGCAGGTTATAGTGATAACTGGGGGTGGCTGGCTGAATGAAATCACTTGAAAAATATATTTTTTTCCAAAAAATTATAAAATTAGATATAGGAGGGGGGAAAAATCCTCTCAAATCCTCACATAGTGAGACATCCTTTCTCAGACAAGTTTCTTAAAAATAAAATAGAGTATCAATTTGTTAGTTCCAGACAGTATACCAACTGTTCTTTTTTTTAGCATGCAGATGTAACTAGGAATCGAACCCAGGGCCTCCTCAGCCCTATTTTACTGTCATTTACATTGGCTTCTCCTGGGACACTCAGTCTGGAGAAGGCAGAGGAGGAGTCAGAGATGACCTTTTGTCTCCTATCCTCTGGCACCCAAACATCATGCTTGTTTTAACAACAGGGTTTCCACGTTGGAATTTGTCATTTACCACAGCCCATGCAGATAATATCAGCGAAGCTCCCAAGCCCCAAAGTTAAGTGGGCAGCTTGTTCTTCTTTCTACAGGATTTTGGCAAGTCTGTGCTAGAGATCTAATCTGTGAACCAGTTTTTCCTTTTTGTCGGGCTGGGGATGGAACCCTAGGCCTTGTGTACGCTGGGCAAGCATTACTGCACTGCATCCCCAGCCCAGGATACAACCAGATCCATCCATGAAGAAGACATCTTTGAGATGAAATTATTATGAAACCTTCCCTTTACACACACACATTTTCTTAAAAAGCGATGTTCAAGTAACCTATTGGTCCAATATTTGATTGCTATGTAGGAACCCCAGGCATTTCATGCATTTCACTATTTGACTTCTAAGAAAGGACTTTCTTTGCAATTGTTCACATTATCTCTGAGCTGCCGGGTTGATAGTCTGCTTTCATAACTTTGTATCCAAAGTATGACAACAAGCAGTAGTTGATAAATTCCTCTCCGACCTCAGGAAAGCAAATAGTGAAAAACATCACGCTGGAGGAACTAGTCACTGTGGTACAAACACAATGGCTTCTTGTGTGACACTTAAATAATTTAAATTTATTGGTGATTAGCAGAATCAGTAATAAGGATTAAGTACTTAAACCACAGATTAGGAGCTGTTAAAAATGACCTGGGCTATTTTGTGCTTGGAGAGACACTTGTTCTTTTACTTCATGTACCTAAGGCTTGAAAAATAACCACAATAGGGCTGGGGATATAACTCAGGGGCACAAGCGCCTACCTGGCAAGCACAAGGTCCTGAGTTCGATTCCCGGTACAAAAATAAAAAAATAAAATAAAATAAACACAATAAAACCAACAAAAGTAGGTTCTACTTCAGAACTCACCCCATCCCACCTTCAATTTTCACATGGAATTTGTGCACCTTCTCTGTCAGAAACAAGCAGAAGAAGGACATGGTTAAGCCAGAATCAGAGGCCGCTGTCCAATAAATAGCGATATAGAAGTATGCAAGAGGGCCAAAAAGAAAGACTGCTTGTATTTGAGTGCCATCCACATGTTAAAAGATAAAAAATATTTTTTCCTCAAACAATTCTGTTAAAAAAAAATATTGCCAAACTGGTGGTGGTGCACTCCTGTAATCCCAGCACTCCAGGAGGCTAGGTCAGGAGATCACCAGTGTGAACCCGGCCTGGGCAATTCAGGGACTTAGAGAGCCACAGTGGCCTGGAGATGTAGCTCAGCAGGAAGGCCTTAGCTCGGTCCCAGCACTACACAAAATGCGCAGAAGTCCTCTTGCGACTTTCATTTGTTCCTCTTATCACTTCAGTATGCCCAGAAACTTTCTATGGCCAGTGATACGCTGATAAACGCGTGGCATCAGACACTGGTTTGGATCCTGGTAGCCGGAGAATACCAACAATCAGCACTTATTTCTCCTTGCTGGGGTGCGTCTGAAATGCTCACCAGGCGGTGGGTGCTTCTCAGCGAGACCCTTGGCTGCAAGGAGAACGACACACCTGCTGTTACATTCTCAGACGGATCTGTGAGTACTGAATAAAGCTCCTGCGAATCCAAGGCCAGGCCAAGCCGACGGAAGGCAAGCGGTGCCCTCAGCCCGGACATCCCCCTCACCCCACTGCGCGGATTTGACTGAGGATATTCCAGACGGAAAAAGGAAAGAAACTGTGCCTTTTGGGCCACCTGTGGAACGCGCCCGCCCGAGGGCAGCACCAGGCCGCAGGAGGAGCTGCGGGCGGCCCGGCCCATCCTGCACACCCCCACCCCTAGCCAGCCGCGCCTGTCCCCGCGGTCTGGAAGGCCGAGACAGGCTGCGCCCTCGCTCCCTTCCCAGACGACCGGCCAGCGGACCACGCCCTCAGACCCCTGCGGACGCCGGGCGCGGAGTCCCCGAAGAGCCGCGGGGAAGCCTGGGGCACCTGCTCGGGGTGGCGGGCGCTTCCTTTGCTCCTCTGCACAGTTCGGTGCCAGCGGTGGCCTTTTCCATTACACACATCGCGACCTGGGCGGGGCTGTGACCTGGCCGCGACCCGACGCGGGGGAGGCCGAGGCAGGGGGGTTAGGGGCGAGGTCCGGGCGCCGCACCAGTGCCAGGCGACCGGCAGGGGGCGCTGCCGTCCCGGCCTCTGGGCCGCAGACCCGGCGCGGCGCACTGTGAGCCGTGGTTCCAGTCCCGCCGCGAGGCCCCGCCCCCTGCTGCTTCCGCGCCCCCAGCCCGCTCGCCCGCACCCAGAGTAGTCCCCGGCTGCGGCGGAGATGGGCCGGGCCGCAGGGGCGCCTTCTCCCCAACGCCTCTTCGTGGGGGGCCTCCAGGTTCGTGGCCCCAAACTCGAGTCCGGTTTATCTGGGGCAAAGGGTTGCGCGCCTGTAGTCCCAGCTACTTGGGAGGCTGAGGCAGGACAATATCTTGAGGCCAACCTGCGCAACATAGTGAGGCATCCTTTCTCACAGATTTCTTAAGAAGCGCGCGCGCGCACACACACACACACACACACACACACACAGAATAACGTATGGCTATAATCCCGATGCTCTGGAAGGCTGAGGCAAGAGGATCTCAAACTCAAACCCAGACTGGACAGTTCTGTTGTTGTTTTCTTTCTTTCTTTCTTTCTTTTTTTTTTTTTTTTGCTGTACGGGAGATCGAACTCACAACCTTGCGCTTGCCAGGCAGGCGCTTATGCCACTGAGCTATATTCCCAGCCTGAGACTGGACAGTTTATTGACTTGGAAAAATCCTGTGTCAAAATTAAAAATATATATATTTTTTAAAGGGCTGGGGATGTAGCTCAGTGCAAAGGCCAGTGGGTTCAATTCCCAGTCCTGGAACCCATCCACTCCCCGGCAAAAACAAAAACAAAAACCCCAACAAACTACCAACTCCAGCCACTTCCTGAGTTCTGGGGAATTTGATTTCCCCTCTCGGCTTAAATATTAGTGGATTTGAAGGCTGATCCACAACTTTGGGGTGCAGGGGAGAGAACAAGGCTGAATCACTCTTAATCTCGGGTCTCGGCTAAATAAGTTGTTCAAGGTCTTCGCTCCCTGCCACGCCCTCCCGCACCCCTGCCCTCGGCTTCCTGCTTCGTGGACGCCGGGGGAGAAAGGTCAGGTCTTCGCAGAGTTACTGTCAGTAGCGGCGGAGAGCCTAGCTCCAGCCCCTGCGCCCTCCGCTCTCCAGCGCGGCCCGGCCAGTCCTCCTGCATGCAGGACGCTCCTCGGGCAGTTCCTTCCGAGCCGCGGACTTGACTTCGGGGTCGGTTCCGGAAGCAGAGAAGCCAGAATGAGGCCTCTGCGCCTCCTCCTCCTCCTCCTCCTCCTCCGGCCGCAGCAGCGACAGAGGTGGCAAAGGTCGGGCGCGCACAGTAGCTGCTCACGGCTGCGAGGTGGCGGGAGATGGGCGCCGAGAGCGCGGCGGGAGAGGAGCAGGCGCCCGGCCCAGGACGGGAGGGAGGGAGAGCGAGCTCGCCGGGGTCCCTCACGCACCCCCGCAGCAGCAGCCGAGGCAACCCGCTACAACTGTGCAAGCGATCACCAGGGGGGCAAGCGCCCGGGTTTCCCCAGTGGGGTGGGAAAGCGTGGGAAGGCTTCGAACGTGTGCTGTCCCGTAGCAAAGTCTGCTTGAGCTTTTATTAATGCAAGCTAAAGATCTGCACAAACACGTCCTTCCAACAAATTTAAATTACGCTGGGGTGTGAAAAGAAAAATGTTAAACCCCGCCCTCCTTTCTCTCCTCCTGGGATACCCATGTCACTGCTTCAAGTCATTCCAAGAATTTTGTGTGTGCGCGTACAAAACGTGTAATACATAACCTCGTGCTTCCTTTTCAAAAAACAAAAATGAAGTCACATTTTACTTCTTTAGCTGCTTTTATCCATTAATGACATGTCGTGGGTGTTTCTGCCAGTCAGTAGGCATGAATGCAACCCTTTCTTTAATGTCCGCTGAATCTCATAAATACGGCTATACCAGATTCATTCATTGAATGTTTATTATGTGCTAGGTACTGAGAAAGTATCGTGAACACAGGTATGTCTCTTCTTGGGGAACTTGATTCTAGCATCAAGAGGCTTAAACATTTAATTTGGCTATTATGAGACATGCAAATTGTCTTTGGTGTTTTCCAATTACAAACCATACCAAGGCAAATATCTTTTCCTATATGTCCTTGTGTATTTCACCTTTTTTTTTTTTTTGTATTTTTACAGTATAGATTACTTTATTTGGAAATGCTAGGTCAAAGAACTACGCATCTTTTTCTCATCATGTTGAGGCTCAAACCTAGGGGCCTTTTACCACTAAGACTACCATTGTACTACCATTATATCCCCAGCCAGTTTTTAAATTTGTATTTTGAGAGAAGGCCTTGCTAATTTACTTGGGCTGGCCTCATGTTTGGGATCCTCCTGCCTCAGCCTCTAGAGTACCTGGGATTGCAGGTGGTCACTGAGCCCAGCTAAGAATATGCATGTTTTAAGCTTTAATAAATATAACCATTGGGGCTGGGGATTTAGCTCAGTGGCACAGCGCCTGCCTGGCAAGCACAAGGTCATGAGTTCGATTTCTGGTCCTGGAAAAACAAACAAACAAACAAAAAATAAACATAACCATTGCTTTCCAAAAAGGGTTAGCAAATGACACAATTCCCCATGCCCAGGAGTGAACTTCCCATTTTTTGTATCTTCCTTTGTGCTATAGTTTATCCCTTGCATTTTTGTCAACCCGGAGCAACAGGAAATGGTAGACAATTTTATTTTCCATTCTAAAATTAGTAAGCAGGTTGAGCATATTGCATCCGTTTCTTGGGCACTTGTGTTTTTTCTTCTGTGGTTTATTAAGATTGATTCTTTTCTAAAAACCGGAAATAAATAGAGCGAGTTGTACAAGTCTTAGCACTCAGAGGCTGAGGCAGGAGGATCACTGGGAGTTTGAAGCCAGCCTGGGTTACACAGTAAGTTCGAGGCCAGCCTGAACTACATATCAAAACCCTGTCTCAAAAAAAACAAAGCACCCAAATCTTGTGCTTTTGTCTCAATCAGTCTCAATTCTTTAACTTAGATTATTTCATGTAAATTTCGCCACGACCGACATTCATCTTTATGAGATGGAGCCTAATCCAGGCTTTCTAACACCAGACTGCATGAACTTTCAGCCACTAGCAGGTGTGATCTTGGAAAGGAACAGAGTTTCTAACTATAAAGCAAAGTAAGAAACTACAAAGTAAACAGCAGAGTCACTGTAAACCTCTCCCTCTTTCCAGGCAAACATTTCCCCCCCAAATTTGAAACAAATATTAAAATGACCAAGAAATACTTGTTACAAAAACCACTTAAGATCACTTCAAACTCCCAGTGATCCTCCTGCCTCAGCCTCTGAGTGCTAAGACTTGTACAACTCGCTCTATTTATTTCTGGTTTTTAGAAAAGAATCAATCTTAAGATTATTACTCTTAATATACAAAGAACTCAATATAAAATGATAAGAGAAGTACTAGACTTGTAAAGAAATACCAGCGAAGACCATAAAACGTCTTAAAATCCAATACTCAATGCTGGTGAGGCTAGGAAGAAACAGGCAACCCCTACATTGATACTAAAATAATAAATTGTTATTCCTCTTCATGTGCTGCAGACTAAATCCAGGGCCTCATACATGTGAGGCAAGAACTCTACCAACTGATCTACACGCCCTGCCTTTTTTTTTGTTTTTGTTTTTTTTCTGGTACCGGGAATCGAACTCATGACCTTGCACTTGCCAGGCAGTCGCTGTGCCGCTGAGCTAAATCTCCAGCCCATTAAGGAGTATATTTCAAATAGCAATTTGGCAATATATGTTACAAATCTTAAAGTACTCCCACTCAGGTTTGGTGCTTCCCACTCATTATCTGGAATCCGGCCTGAGGAAATAAGAAAAAATAGGGAGTTGGAAATACCTATCCAATATTAAGATTTTGGATAACTAAGTTATGGTACACACATTCAGCTGAATATTATATGTCCAGTAACGATGCTATTTTCAGAGTAATGATGCGAGAGATTCTTATTTTTTTGTTCATACATCAGAAAAGGCAAGATATAGGGTCCAGCTTCGTGATAAGGCAGGGCCACGGATGCTGGAGGCCTTGAGTTTGGCCCTCAGTGCCACTAAAAAAAAAAAAACCCAAAATAAAAATAATAAAAGACCCAAAATAATTTTAAAAGATAATAAAATAGGGGGCTGGGGATTTAGCTCAGCGGCACAGTGCCTGCCTGGCCAGCTCAAGGTCGTGAGTTGGATTCCTGGTACCGGAAAAAAACCAAAACCAAAAACAAACAAACAAACAAAACCCAAAAATAATAAAAACAAGACAAAAAATAATACGTACGGGGGCTGGGGATTTAGCTCAGCGGCACAGCGCTTGCCTGGCAAGTAAGAGGTTGTGAGCTCAATTCCCAGTACCGGAAAAAGACAAAAAAAAATACGTACAGTATGATCCTTGAGTATACCATTTATACCATCATGACGGTAGGCAGAAAGAAAACCCCTCCAAAGATGTACCGTCCCAATTCCTAGAATCTGTAAATATTACTTTATTAAGTATGTAAACAATCAAAACTCAACCAAAGAAATCTTTGCAGATTTAATTAAACTAAGACACTCCTCCCACACACACATACAAGACAGTGACCCGCATGAGTACAGAGACCTGGAGATGCGGCCTTGACCAGGCGATACAGCTACCGGAAGCTTGGGGGAAGCAGGCCCGGATATGCCCTGCAGTCCCGCAGGCACCTCGCTGGGGTCCGGTGATACCAGTTTCGTACTTCTGGATTCCAGAACTGGGAGAGAATAAATTTCTGTTGTTTACGCCTCCGACTTCACGACTGAGTGTGAGGGCAGCTGCACACTCAGAGAGAGTGCTCCTGTTTCTTCTCGCTGTTGTGTGACAGCAAACAGCTCCAAACTTGCTGCCATTACCTTCACGGCTTCCCTGGGGCAGGAACTCTACCTTCACGGCTTCCCTGGGGCAGGAACTCAGACTAGGTCTACAGTTCCACGCCTGGAGCGTGTGGAGTCTAAGGATCCAGCTTCAGAAGCCGCCCAGACTCACTTCCACTGCCACTTTCAATTGACTGAATGGAGCAGTGTCAGCCGCTCCCTCTGCTCCCTCCAAATCCAGAGGAGGGGACATAAACCTGCCTCTGGACGGAGATGTGGCAGCCACTTCCCGACTGCCACAGGTGGCTTCCGCACTACCTTATTTACATCCTTCCTCATCCAGGTTCTCTGTCCTCAGAGTTTCATGTCGTGAGGCCCCTGGGCTCATACTCAGCTTCAGGGATCTTAGAAGCTAAATCAGGTCCAGGTGTAGTCAGGTGACTTGGGTTCGATTTCTTGGGTGTTTTTCCTCTTGATTGTAAAACTTATGAAATAAAGAAACAGGTTTTCTGCCTCTCCTTACACAAGTACAGCTAACAGATGATGTTACAGACACAAGACGATGACGAGGGATATTCTTGTTCTAGGTGGGGAAGGGCCTGGGAGTGGAGCTCAGTGGTGGAGCGCTTGCCCAGCATGTGAGCCCTGGGTTTCGGCCTTGGGTTGGTTAGGGCGGAGTCAACCTGGATGGCTGTGGGGTCTGCCCACGGTGTTGGTGGAGCACACTTCCGGTGTGTTGGGATGCAGGCCATGGAGGCATGGCTTTGGGTGCTACACCTGGTCCCTGGCCTTTTCCCCTCTGGCACTGTACTCTTTCTCTGCTTCCTCCCCCTGGAAACAGATCAGCTTTGCTGTGCTGTGCCTTCTGCTATAATATTTCTGCCTCAGAGCCAGCTGACCCTGAACTAAATAGTTAAATCTTTTTAAAACGTAAAACTAAATAAACCTCTCCTCCTTTAAGTGTGGGTGTCAGGTACTTTGTGTAGCCATGGAAAAGCTAACTAATGTAATCCCCATCTCTCTCTCTCTCTCTCTCTCTCTCTCTCTCACACACACACACACACACCCATCTCTCTCTCTCTCTCTCACACACACACACACACACACACACACAGTGGAGGGGAGGGGCGGAAGGAGCATATAGCTGTCACTGGCTTAGATCAGCTCTGAAATCATCCACTCTTCTGTCACCTATTTATTGGTAAGGGCTCAGTCTTGCTTGCGGGGAGCAACTTCCTTGAACTTTTTCCTCTCTCGTAGGTCTGTCCATTTTCTGAGCCACCCTTTCTTTCTTTTCCTAAAAAGTAGCCTGCCTTTTCAGCATTTTTAGCTTGCTTTCTGCCTATAGAGACTGAGGGTCAAACTGCAACCTGAAAGCCACTTATTCATCACAAAGCGCCAATGCTGCAATTAAATCTGACCACTGGGGCTTTAGTTTAGAAAGAACAATCCACACACTAACACCTTGTGTCTTGAAAGAAAAACACAATAACATATGTGCCACAAGTTCATCACCACTGCCGTACAGGTTTGCAGAGCTTTATTTCATTTTGTACTATCTTTGTTCCTTTCACCCTAAATGGACATAATTCCTTTAAAATACTTGTGGGTTTCTTATGTGTCGATTTATAAAATGTACTCCATTACGTAAAGCTGTGCTCACCAGTCTTTGTGACAAACCTTTCTCCACTTTGGGATCCCTGCCAGGCTCTTACAGTGCCCTTAAGATTTACAGAAGCCCCGGTGTTGAACAGAGATTGTTTGTAAGGCTTGCTCTAGAATCCTTAGAAGGCCTCGTGTCTAGTTGGAAGAGTCACCTTTGAAACATCACCTCATTCTTCTGATGTCCTACAGAAGGAGCTTTAAATTCACGTTTGGTTTCACTTTCTGGCCGTGTCCTGAATTTGACCTATGGTCAGGGGTCTTTCTTCTCTCTGTACTGGGGACAGAACCCAGAGTCCCATGCATGCCAATCAAGTACGGCAGCACAGAGCTGCCCCCTAGACCTTTAGAGGTCTTGTCTTACCACGAGAACTTTCTGCAGGATGAGTTCTTGCTGACTTCTCTTTCTGTCTTCCTGAGCACTTTGTCTAAATTTCTGTGTGCTCTTTGTTATTTATTGCTTTGTCTGTCTGATTTCTTGCTTTTGATGATGGACTTCCTGAAGGTAGGGACTCTATACAGGTATTTTGCATCTTTCTGTCCCCAGTACTGAACACAGTACTTGGTGAGTAGCAGTTCGTACAAGTTTATAAAAACAAACTAAGGGCTGCAGATTTAACTCAGCAGCACAGAGCCTGCCTGGCAAGTGCAAGGTCGTAAGTTCGATTCCCGGTACCGGAAGAAAAACAAAAAAAAACCAAAACCAAAAAAAAAAAACAAAAGAAAACCACAATCACAGCATATAAACAGCCTCCTATCTGGGGCTGGGGATTTAGCTCAAAGGCAAAGTGCCTGCCTGGCAAGTGCAAGGTCATGAGTTCGGTTTCCGGTACCGGTGAAAAACCAACAACAACAACAACAAAAAAAAATAGTCTCCTATCAATGGTAACTTGCTTGACAGCATTGGTAATCTTTGACCAGGTTCTGATGGCCAAAAATACACGGTGTAGTGTCTTACCCTCTTCTTACTGCACACCAGGAGACTCCTACTCCTCTCCCAGACAGTTTGCCCTTGAACTGAGGTTCACAGGCATCCTAAATCAGGCGGTCTCTCCCAGCCCCAGAGGCTGGACCCATGTCATTACTCCCAGATGTTGAGTCTTTTGGGTTGGCAATTGTGAATGATTAATGAGGTGAGGAAGGGTTTACAGACTCCCAGCAGCGGAGCTCCTTGTAACCTGATACACTTACGGCACTTCCGCTGGAGAAAGTGACAACAGTTTAGTCAATGTTCTTTTAAATAACACCTGTTTTTTCTCAATGTAAAATAAGGTTCAAATAAGAAAAAAAATTAAAACTGTAATCCTTGCACTCAGATAACCATTGATAAATTTAAAAGGTTTTATTCTTAATTTTTTAAAATTATTGCATTCTCATTGTTAAACATAGAACTAGTGCAGAAGAGCATAAAGTAAAATGGAAAGAATAGCCCATTCTATTCCCCAGAGTTAGCTAGTATTGATATTTCCTTATAGTTTTGTCTTGGCTTGTTTTTGTTTGTTTGTTTTTCTTCCGGTACCAGGAGTCGAACTCACGACCTTGCGCTTGCCAGGCAGGCGCTGTGCTGCTGAGCTAAATCCCCAGCCCTTGGCTTGTTTTAACTGTAAAGCAACTCTTTTTTTTTTTTTTAAATACAAAAAGCACAGGATCTCAATAACAATGAAAACACATTTTAGAATGTCACAAAACCTACTTCCATCAATGTATGTATGTTTTAAAATCCCAATTTTGTGTACATGAATGATTGCCTCAATCAAGTGGAGGACATGCTTATAGCTGGGCATAAGCCCTATAATTGCAGAAATCTCATATTTCAGCATACAGTGAATAGCGATTCTCCTAATGTTTTATCAGTACTGCTGGTTTACCCACATAAATACTCCACTTAGTAAAGGGTGAAAATAACAGCTGAAAATGAGCATTACAAGTGAATTACTGAACAACTTACAGAACACTGAATTATTCTCCTCCTCTTCCCCTTCTTTAGTTATTATATTACATTTTATATTACACTATGCTACATTATTATATATTATATTACTCCAGGGTCAACCCCAGGCCCTTATACATGCCAAGCATACATGCAACATTAAAGTTTTGAGTTTGTGTTTCTGGCTTTTATCCTGCTTTCCCTGAACAGTGGCAGCTATGTGATGTTGTTATGTGAAAGCCTGTATAAAAGAACAACATGTGTGAAGTGGTTTTATTCAACTTCCAAGGTTAAATGTGTGACTGTTTTCAAGAACTTAGACATGGCTGATTTCTTTTCTTTAAATGTGTTGTGTGCATGCTTTCCTGAATCAGCTACCCACTGGCCTTGTTTTCCAAGGGAGGAAATTGTTACATTTGCAAAGAAAAGGTTGAAGAAGTGAACATCTGAAATCGATTGTGTATTTGCCTATTTACTTTCATGACAGAACAGAAGATAGGGGTCTCATAAGTAAAAGCAAGAAACTTACAAAAATTCACATTTGAATTCCAATTTGAATTCCACACTTCTCACAACCTAGTTCCACTCTTGGATTTTGCTTTTTGGAGCTGTTTTACCACTCAATTACTGCTGGTTTCTCTAATACCTAGTGCGGGAGTAGCCCATTCTGAGAGTCTGTGCTGAGTCATTGATTAACTAATCAGTTTGTACATTCACCGTTCATGAAGCCTAGCGTGAAGATGTTCTGCTTGTCCTGTTGTGTTAGAGACTCAGAATACAGAACGGCCCTCATCGTCCGTTGCTAACTCCATCTATATTCTCCCCATGTGGCCTTAACTGGAAGGCTACACTTCCCAGAAGTCTTAGCAGCAAGACTTCTTTTTTTTTTTTTTTTTGGTTTTTCTCCGGTACCGGGAACCGAACTCACGACCTTGCGCTTGCCAGGCAGGCGCTTTGCCGCTGAGCTAAATCCCCAGCCCCAGCAGCAAGACTTCTAAGAGCAGTGAGGGTTCTGCCAATAAGATACATTCACGCAACGTCTAGAAGACAAAGAAAGCAGAAGTTGTCTTCCAGTCATCGTTGTGACTGATTCCAGCAGAGGTAGCTGCATGACCAAGTCCACTTTCCAGTGTCTGGCCATCATCTTCCTGGGTGTAGGATACAGTTGTGGTAGTGTTAGTAGTTGCTGGACCTCCATGTTGTAACTATGGTACTAGGATCTTGAAGCCAATTGTCTAGCACCCTGCCTTTTAATAATTTTGTAACTATCTTTTGCTTGAAGTGCCTTTATTGGTTTCTGTTTTCCAT